TACTGATTAATCATAAAGGTAAAAATAAAATATTGTTACATATATAATCATTAGATTAAATAAGGTTAAGTTTAAAGCATAAGTTAACTAGGCAATAAAAAATCTTCAAGTCATCGAAATGAATATATAAAATTTCGAATGGTATATATAAAATATTAGGAAAATTCGTATTTATTATTATTTTTACTAATATTTAACATGAAAGATCAATGAAATTATGTTTGATAAAATGAGCAAATTATGTTTAAATATAAATCGCGTTAAAAGAAAGCTATTTTAGATTGCATTTTTTTTTTCTTCGTAAGGTAACGTTTCTTTCTTTAACGATCAGCATTAACTTTCAGGATCGACGATAACCTTCCGATCGCTACTTCTTTTATTTCGCAGAGGTACAAACGCGAGCGCGAAGACAGTAAAGCTTTACGAGCGCGCGTAACGAAAGAACTCATTTCTGGAAGAAAAAACTTGCAGCAGAAAAAAAAAGGTAAAAGAATATTAATGCAATGTCGAAGCGATTATCGTAACGCGCTGCTCCAACTGGCTTATAACGTTGGTGAGAGAGAAAGAGAGTAGAGCTAAGTCAGACATGAGAGCTAAAACGAGCCACTTCGCTCTATGGACGTGGAAATGGCTGTTCTTTCACAGCGCAAAGAAACGCACTAATCGCCAACGGAGATTCCATTCGGTTAACATTCGAGCAACTCATTAATTTGAATATCCGGGAAGTTCGTTTATGAAGGCCGCGAACAATCTGAAAAGAAATTCTTTACAACAAATTTTAACAACGCCGGTTAGCTCTAATCTTGGTTTATTACATGTACATGCTGCTACTTCTCTGAATTTATCAAGAACGTAAAAAAAAAAGAGAACGTTTTTCATAAGTTTGTGAGATGTTACTTTCGTTATCCGAGTCTCAAATGGTTATACTACTTTAGTTATTACTCGTGCAAAAAGCGATCAGAGATTTGATTTTAATCCCAAAATAGAAGTATGCAATATGTTTCGTTTTTATTCCTGCACTGGAACTTTCTTTCTTGCCTTCGTCAAATATCGCCAAAATAAACCTATTTCATTTTTCAATAATGAATACTAGTTCAATACGGATTTAATAAACAAAATAAGGAAAAGTTTGAAAGCAAAAACTTAACAAGATGATTAAACAGTTTTAAATATAAAATGTATTTTGGACATTAATTAACGGTCCGAGAATGTTATTATGTAAACTAGATATTAATTTCAATGATGATTCGGTCCAATCATAGTTGAAATTATATAATTACTTCGAAAGTTTCAGGTTTGTTAATAATAAAAACCTTAATTTAAATTATTATACGTATAATTTAGTAATTTGTATTTTTTATACACAATATAATAGTCGGAAGATTCAAGCTGCTGTGTAAATTCCCATCCGATTGATTTCATTTTATGAACAACTTATTCGTGTGAGGATTTAACCCGGTGATTGAGAACAATCGAGGGTTTATACGTCGATCAAAGAAACGCGTTGCGAAGCCGTACGACAGAAAAGAAACCCAACCACTTCAAAGGAAGACTTCAACGTGCCTTCTGTCCTTCTCCCAATTATCCAACCGTAATTTGATCCTCCTCACAACACTCAATGCGAGATGTTGCGCTTAATAAAAATCATTAGATACGCCCGTTAATTGCGCAATTACGAAGTAATTGAAAGAAAAACGCGCAAAAGGGATTCACGTCAATTGTAATTTAAAAAAAATTATACGCTGACGTTTCTTAGAGTAATAATATAGTAATGTTAAGAAATCTTTTTGGTAACAAATAATTTTAGGAACATGATATTTTTGCATGCGAGACACATAAAAGAATTTCGCATCAATCGAAATTCTAAAAAAAGAATTATATGTTTCTTAAGATAGTAACACAAAAGTTTTAAGAGCAGTCTCTTAGTAGTAAACAATTTCGGAAATATGCATATCAATCTTCCATGCAAGACGTAAAAAGAATTTGTGTGTCAATCGAAATTCTAAAAAAAAAAATTATACGCTTCCATTTCTTAAAATAATAACACAAAAATTATAAGAATAGTTTTTTTAGTAGCAAATAATTTTGGAAATATACTTATCAATCTTACGTGCGAGACACACGAAAGGAAATTGTGTCAAACGGAAAAAAGAAATATATGCTTATGCTTCTCAAGGTAATAACAATAACGTTAAGAATAACACAAGAATTTTAAGAACATCTTTTAGGAAATAACTTCACACGCATATCAATTTTTCATGCGAGGCACGTGGTAATCGTTAATTAATTTTCCGATAGGTCAGCACGCCTAACGTTTCCTTTTCTCATTCCAGATTAAACTCCTACGTTTTCCAGTATACGCGGCAGTTCATCAAGCAAATTAACGAAGCTTGAGGCAGGCGGAATTTCGCAGAATGTCGCCATCGACCCGTACCTCTTCTCTCGGCCAAATTCTCATAAATTCCGAGATTGTCGAGGGAATTCGAAGCGATCTGAGAATGTGCCTAATAGATATTGCCTCCGCCGACCCGTCACCGCTTTGTCGTAGATAATAGTCGATACCGGAAGCTGCTTTGCCCGCTCGCTTTTGGCACACATGTGTGTCGCCCGAGTGTTAGAAGAGGAGAAAAAGAAGAGTACGGATCCGACAGAGAGAAATTGCGGTGCATCAGGCGTCTGGTCGTCGAATGCGAATCCGCATCGCAACCAGAACGTAGCGGGGTAGGGTGGTTGCAGGATTGAGTAGAAGATGAATTACACCGCGGGAGGATGCATGAGACGCACGGACGACGGATGGCGCGGCGGACACCGAAGGAGCGAAAAAGCATGCGAAACGAACGGAGAAGAGGGATGGACCGACCGGTTTCACTGCTCGTATCGATCGATGTGAAATAAATTTAAGGCCGATTCGCTGACCATCGATTCCGATGCGACGAGCATATGCGCGAAAAATATCCTGCAGCAGCATGCGGCTGCCACGAGCGCTCGCGTGCACGCGACACATATTGATTTGATAAATGTTATCGAAGGTTATATTTTTTCACCCCAGAAGAAATGTGTTGTCGAGTAAACGAGTAAGTAGCTAAAAACGGGAGCTGTATTTCCGCATCCGTAATAATTAATTGTAATTTTTATGTTAATTATCTGTCAATTATCGAAGACATTCATAACGATCAGAGACTTAAATCCAGCCGATACTTCACAGCTCCCTGATCAGTTATCGGGATTTCAACGTAATGGAACAATTATCCCGTCAATTAAAAACAAATTAGACGTCGTGGAAAATATTATTTTATGCGAAACTTCTCGCTCTTCTCTCTTCCTCCTACAGATCAAGTAATAGAGTTTTTTTTTCGACGTTTTAAGACGACTCCGTAATGAACCAATGAAATTTTTCAAAAAAAGAAGTAATGTGAAGAAAAAAGTAATGAGAATATGTATGGCCCATTTAATCTCACTAATGAAACTTGTATTGCGGCGACGTGGAAAGTAATAACTATCAATGATACGTGCGTAAAAGGATGACGGTGAGCAAGAGGGGCGTAGAAGGAAACAGGAACCGAATCGATCCGAAGTAGCCGAGGGTGGGATTTATTACGTTCTCCTATTCCGCGCTTCCAGAACAATCAGCGGACACGCCACAAAGGAGGCCGTCGCGACGAACTTAATTTAAGGATAATTGATCAAGGAGCGGCAAGGACCGAGCGGGGGAACCGAATTTTCGATTTCAATTAAGACGTGAATATCCAATTAATTAAGACGGCCTCGACAGCCGAGCACACATCGCCCAGAATCGCTAGAATATGTCTCATAAGTTAGCGGAACATACGTGTAATAAAGCCAATTTATGTAAAAAGAACGTAGGAATTTGTTGCTGTCGAAATATCGTAGTTTTAAATCCGTTACCTACAAAATAAGTATAAATAACAACGAAAAACCTCAGCGTGCTAGCGAAATAAAGCACCAGTAAAGAATTTATTGCTCGCTAAAAATTGATATTGAGATGTCGTCCAATTTGTTGCTCTTGAAATATGCAAGTTACGAATTTGTTGCTTGCAAAATAAGTATAAATATAACAACGGAAACTTTTAACCTTTAAATCTTTTTATCCTTCGTTTGCAATTTAGTCTTCAAATTTCAGTGTAAATTTTTATATTGTTCATAGAATGTTTAAAAATCTAAAAAATTCGTACACACTTGTTAAATCTTTAATAATAAATTTTTTTGCTATCATATGTATACACATGTAGAGAAAGCGAGAGAGAGAGAGAGAGATCGGATTGTATTTTATATTTTACTTATTTCTTATAATACAAAAAAATTTCTTACAAAGAGTCTGGTTGCATTGATTGGAATTCTAGTTAAAAATGAACAAGTTACAATTTACTGGTTGAATCTATTATAATTCTAGTTGAGATAACCAGAATTTTGATTGATGTGACCCGTCTGGTTCGATCATATTTTCAACCAAAAATTGTTGTCAGAATTCACAATCAAAAAAGTAATCATCATTTTAAAGTCAACATCGCCGACGGGAGTTAAAAAAGTCAAAGATCATTATTTAGCCAGGTGTTTCTAATATTTAAAAGGAAACTATTATATTAGTATTAAAAAAAAAAAGAAATGTGTTCGCAGAACACGAATGACCCAATCGTGTATACTTAAAATTTAATTTAAGTTTGAGCGTGAGCGTAACATATGGCAGACAGCACTGGTCTATCGTGCCAGAAGTCTCGGATTCGATCCTGGTAGGAACCAAAATATTTACGTTCGTAATCTCCTCTCGAAAAAGGCCGACAACCTTCCGAGAGCATTTTTACCCACAGAAACACCTCTCGAAAAATCCACGTTCGGAATCGATATTAAACTGTATGTCCCCCCATATACTTGTGGGAATTGAATGACCAGCATGCGCACCTCAAGCATATGAGAGAGGTATAACACGGATCAGGGGCTTCACGTAAGAGAAAGAAGAAGAGATTTAACAAAAGTTGACTCACCGGTGACCGGAGCCTCGATGTCTATCATAGTCTTCTCCGAGCGTAGAAGAGCGGCTCCATCGTTGATTATACGAAGAGCCGCAGCCTCGTCGATCCTACCTTCGAGAATAAAGTGTTGTTTGAGGACCTCCGGCCGAGGAGATCCTGTTCGTTCGTCGAAGACTTCTGCCACTGTCATTTTGTGCGACGGTGGAAACGGGACATCTGTTGACAAAGCAAACGATTTATGATGCAAAAAGATTATACATAAAGACCTGTAAATATACATATAAAAATATTCTGAAATTACATTTTTTTTTATCAAAATTGTATTTAAAATGCAGTCTCGCGTAATCGCTTGAAAAATTTTTCAAAGTATTGTATGATACTATGTAAATTTTTCTCTTCGCCGAGTAAGCCTTTGCATAAGAGCAGCAGATTATCTCCCCGATCTTGCACGGCAGTGACATCAATTACAGTCGAGCCGCTCGCTAATCCCAAGTGACAATTAAATGTCCTTTTTTTACGAGATATGAGCGGCGCTACAAAGCGATTCATAGGATAAATCGGCGTGCACACACGACGATCGTACCTAAATATTGATCAAACGCGACTTTATATGCTCGAAACGAAGCGCTACATTCTCCACCTCGTAAGAATTAATGAGTGTGTACATGAAGCTAAGACACGTAATCATGTTTTTCCTTTATGTTTCGTACCCGCGCCGTTGCTTGTGATTTACGGCTTCGAGTCTTCTCGTGTTCGCATTTAAATCGCAGTTGGCGTTCGCCAAGAATTATGCAGCGGGCCAGAATCGCGCATTTTCATTTTCCCGCTGCGTGGTGGTGTGAAATACGCTCTCCGGTGCATGCTCCATTTGCTTCACTTTGCACTCACGTTTTCGCGATGTTGCGGAAAAATGTAAGTGAAAGAAAGTCTCGAGATGAACGAGCGAGATGCAATAAAAATGTGCGTTTAATTTTCGAGTAATTACGTAAGATGTTTGCATAACGCTAACGTTTACCACTCGTTTGACGTTCAAGACGATTACGCAACGTAAAATCATTAATCGCGCCTATCGCGCATACACAATGCGCGATTTATCTTTACTTAAGTGCTCGAGTAGTCGAGGTAGCAGCTGAGAAAACAATAGACAGTGAAAAAACCGAATTCTTTCCCGTTTATCGCGGACATGCCTTGCGGCATGTAACAAGTTCCAAAGCAATTATAATACGTCTCGAGAAAGCTTTAATCGTAAAATACTTTGAGTAACGTCTTTGGTGTATCTAGGATTTTTCAACTGAAATATCGCAAAGGCTCTCTAAGTGCGCTGTGAAAATTTTAAAAAAGCAAAGAGAAGAGAAAAAAATTTTAAAATAAGTATAAAAGCGAATAAGCGGTGCAAAGTAAAAAATACTTTAAAAATTGGAAAAATTACATAAATTATATTGCATTTATTTTTATCTTAATCAAAGCAATATTGCAATAAAATCACTTTTAAAGCGATAAAGTTAAAGATAAAAACTTTAGAATTTTATTTTATTTTTTAATATTGGCAGTATCTCTGATAAAAGATCTATATTGAGCGTTGAAACGTGTACATCTTGATATACTTTGACGTACATTGATAAATTAAATGATATACTTTGATAAATTTGGTTCGTTATTTAATGTGCCGGAATTGAAAAAAGTTGAAAAACGCTGATACAACCATTTACTAACGTCGACTATAAATTACCATTTCTCCTCTTTTCTTTCGCCTTATTTTAACTTTCATTTAAAAAATATCTTGCCTTATCTATGTCAGGCACATGTTAAAACAACGCATAAGTAAAAATTAAATATTTCAATTCACGTGGATCGATAACGATTTACGAGAGAATAGGGTAACAGGTGGGCGACAACGAGGCACCACCGCGGACAATATCTTGCAACGTCGGCCGAGCCGATGCAAAAACGTACGGCACTCAAGGTTGAAATCGTTATTATTGTTACGCGGCACGCTACGATCATCGATCGACCATTTCCCACCAAGGTGAAACGCGTTTACCTGGTCTGTGTCTTTCGAGTATTTGGGCCAACCAACCTGAGGTACTTATCGAAGAGCGCAGCTTAAGGACGGGTATTTTCGATTTTATAACAGAACTTTTCCCTTGCACTGATGAACTCGTTCTCACACCGTAACGGTGTTCCTTTTCGTTAGATTTTTTCAATCGTTGAGGCGATCGACACAACGATGACATGTTCGTGAACCGTCTCGACCAATGACTCCCAAAGCAACCGCCCGCGCCACTCTGCTGCTGCTTAGTCATCATTTGTTCTATGTAACATTGAGCCAACTGGACGTTTTTATTGTACAGATTGTCAAACGTGTCCGTTTTCTCACCGTCCTCAATGGCGTTCGGGTGGTCGAACACCGAGTGATCTGTCAAGGGAGTCGATTCCGCATTCACGGGATTACCAGCCTCCTTTGTCTTGGAATCTGTAGAATCGAAGATCACGTTCTCTGGGTACGGACGGTTACTTCGTTTCGGAAGCTGATAGATCGAACTGTCGGACATCGACGACGAAATGTCATTGTCCAGGACGATCGCCTCCATGGTTGAGTAATCGGATTCCGCATTCACGGGATTACCAGCCTCCTTTGTCTTGGAATCTGTAGAATCGAAGATCACGTTCTCTGGGTACGGACGGTTACTTCGTTTCGGAAGCTGATAGATCGAACTGTCGGACATCGACGACGAAATGTCATTGTCCAGGACGATCGCCTCCATGGTTGAGTAATCGGATGTCAACTCGTACTTCGTCTTGTCCCTCGCTAAGATTTCGTTGCAATCAACAAAGCAATTTCTTTGTATTCGCCAGGTTCAGTGTGCGAAATATATGCTAATATTTATCGCATACGTTCGTCTAAACCCAAAAGGGCAGATGAGATTCTGATGAACGTAGAAAGATCCTCACTCTCCCGTCAGATAAGAAAAGTTCATGAAGATACATACTAAATGTATTAAATACTAACATTTCGTGAACAGTTCACTTCATCATATCGAGAAGCAATCAAATTGCTTCTCACTCTAATAAAGTGAACTGCAATGTTCAACGTTGGCATTCAACTCTCTCCATTGGCAACATGAAACTTTTCCGTTAACGATAAAGGTTTTTAAAAGAAGTAAATTTTGTTATTATTCCGGATTATATGAAAAACTGAAAAAATTTTGGTATTCTTGTCTAACTTTAACATATCTTTACCATGATAGAAAAATTGTATTTTACTTACTTTTTATAGATTTAAATTTACTGACCAGAATTTATAATCAAAATATCAATAGTGACATTAAAGATCTCAGTTGCCGACGGAAGGTTAAATGCCAAGGTTTCGTAAATATTGTAGTTCACTTTCATCAAGCCGAAAAACAATCAGTATTAGGTTGCTTTTCGCCCTGATAAAGCAAAATGCAATGTTCGCTAAACAATAGCATTCAATAATGTCTCAAAATACGGAAATAACCCGTAATCTCATGTAATTTCCTCGAAAAAAATATGTAAAAGTCTCAACGGAGGTATTACTTCGCAGACGTTTCTTCTCTCGGAGTTTCATGTCCATCAGAGTCGCGTCTACTTTAGTGGGTGTTTAGACAAAGGCGTGTGGATATCTCGATGTGGATTAGTTGAGCATACCAATTTTCAAAGATTCATCACATGCTAAGCTCACTTCCGTCACACTCTCATCGCACATCTTGAATATTAGACGTAAAAGAAGAATTATTCTGCGAACAGTCCGTCTGTCTCCACTGTAGAAACCTCTCGAATCCTGGTATAGAATCTTTTCGACTTCCTGCTGAGCGATTTTGTCGAGATCACTTCTCGTGTGAGACGCGTTCAGCGATGAATTGATAGCAAAAATATGTTCTCAGGAGAAACGTGTATACTATCATACGCACCGTCAAGTGTATGAACATCCGCTCTTTGTCGGATATGTTGAAAACTGGGCGAAAGTTCTTGTCAGACATATATAGAAATTTTCTCGTATCGATAGAAAATCGATTTTCGAGAGTAGAATGGGGATCCTGGGGCTGAAAGCTGAGCTCGCTGGCGATTCTCGTTGCGACATTGAAATCACAGAAATCCACCTAATTGGACAACATAATCGATACAATCGATACAAGTGCTCGCTTGTACCAGGAGGTGGCGACATATCCAGAAGCTCCCGAAACGCGCCACGATATAAAATGCGTCGTCTATATTGTCAGTTATCTTGTTAAACGCGAAGAAAATCAGTCGAAAAATCGTTTATTTTCTCTACAATAATAATACAATTAAAAAAAGACAGTTTTCAAGAAAATTAATTTTATTGTTTTAAATTACTGAAATTTTGTAATATTAATTTTGAAATGTAATTTTAATGTAATCATTGATTGCAAAGAAATAAGCAGTGTTATATCTTTTAAAGTATTTTTTTCGTCCGTTTTTTACAATCGACCAAAATATGACGATTTCTTAGTTATGTTACAGTTGTAGCAAATGAGCAATATATTCTTTCGCAAAAACATAGTGATTATTAAAACCTAAGTCCTCTCTGAGACAAAATTGATAAGTACAGACAATAAGAAAGAACAGAAAATAAGAAATTGCATATATTCGTTTCTGGTATACACATTCTGATAGATTGAAAAAATCTCTTATTCATTATATATACTTTTCAATTGTGCTTAACATTGGTAAAATTTTTGTAATATCAAAATTGTGATTAAGCATTTTAAAACCATTAAAAATTTTATATAACTTCCTCCTGTGGATCCACTAGTAGTGCTTAACTTAAATATGGTTTTCGCGTCTATACAGCTTAACTGCGTAAAATTTGCGCAGTACAACTGAAGTACAGGATGGTTTCACTGTGAAAGTACTCGATTTAGAGAGAGACAACTACATTATTATCTTCTTAATGCGTCTATCGTTGGCCGATTCAACAAAAAGCCTTGTTATCATACAGGCGTCGCGCTGCGCGACGTTAGTAAATAATAAACATAAATAAAGTCATATGCGTATACATAAACACAAAAATTTAAAATAGACATATACGTATATATGGATTATACACGTTATGTAAGCAGAATAAATGTTAAGGAAAGTATTACAATTATTTTAGTAATTTTATTAATCTTTTCCTCATTTTGGCTGTATATTTTAGAATCAATAAAATGGATAAAACTAATAAAATTTATAAT